GGTGGGGGGGGGGGGGGCCTGCCAGCTCCAATGGCCGCGCTGCTTCTGGAAGTGGTCGCCAAGTTCCCGAAGCAGCGTGGCTGCGTTGATGGTGAGTGGGATCGGGGCTTCCCACTACTGGACAGGGAGGCCCGGGGGGGGGGGGGCCCCCCCCCCCCCAGCAGGGACCCTCCCGCAATGACCTCACTGGTATTGTTTACTAACTTTACCATATTCCCTCATATAGAAGGTGCATCTCTAAGGCACCCACCCATTACTGTATTCTCTTGTATAGAAGACACTGCTCTGACCCCTTCCCTTGCTGACCCCCCCACCCCTTCCCATTTGAAAACAAGCTGGAGCAGGGCAGGTGGGTGCAACCGTTACCGTATTCCCTCATGTAGGAGGCACAGGTCTGACACCCTTTCTTAAACCTTTTCAATTCCCATTTAAAAACCAGCTGGGAGAGGGCAGGTGGGTACAACCATTACCGTATTCCTTCATATAGAAGGCACAGCTCTGGCATCCCTCTGTTCCCATTAAAAAACCAGCTGGAAGAGGGGGGCGGGGGTGCAAACATGACCGTATTCCTCCATGTACAAGGCGCAGCGTCGAGACCCTGGCCCCTTCCTCATAACCTCGTCCATCGCCACCGGTGGGTGGGGGCAACGATTACCGTATTCCTTCGTATAGAAGGCATGGCTTTGACGCCCCTCCCTCGCAAGCTCTTCCCGTTCCCATGAAACACAAGCACGGGGGGAAGAGGGCGGGGCACGCAGGACCGTGCTCCCCCGGGTACACGGCGCAGCTCTGACACGCTGGTCCCTTTCCCATCCCCGTGAAAGGTGGGGGCACGATTACCGTATTCCTCCTGACACCACCACCCCCATCCCTCCCTGTTTACAACCGCTTCCTCCCCCTCCGCAAACCCGGCCGGGCCGGGCCCGGGGCCGGGGTGGGGGGAAGCAGAAGCCCGTGGCCGCCAGGGCCGCCGTGTTTGTCTGCGGACGGGAAAATGCGGGTGCGGCCCGATCCGAGGGCGCCTTCTACTCGGAGGAATGGGGCCGGGGCC